CTCTGCCTCCCAGATTCAAGCGATTCTCATGCCTCAGCCTCCTGAATAGCTGGGATCACAGGTGCCCGCCACCACACCCAGCTAATTTTTGTATTTTTGTAGAGGCAGAGTTTCACCATGTTGGCCAGGCTGGTCTCAAACTCCTGACCTTATGTGATCCGCCTACCTCGGCCTCCCAAAGTGCTGGGATTACAAACATGAACCACCGTGCCTGGTCTACCTGTTTTTTTAAATTAAGATAATATTTGCATGTGTCAAAAAAAAACCAAATTGTTCAAAATCAAAAAGTGGAGGTTTCCTTTCTCCCACAGATAGTTGACCCCCTGAAGTAACAACTAGAAAATGCAGGAAAACGGCCAGGTGTGGTGGCTTACGCCTGTAATCCCAGCTATACGGGAGGCTAAGGCAGGACAATTGCTTGAACCCGGGAGGTGGAGGTGGCGGTGAACTGAGACCATGCCACAGCACACCAGCCTGGGCAATAGAGCGAGACTCCGTCTCAAAAATAATGATAATAATAATAATTAATTTTAAAAAGTTAGCCAGGCATGGTGGTATGCACCTGCATTCCCAGCTACTGGGAAGCTGAGGCAGGAGGATCAATTGATCCCAGGAGTTCGAGGCTGCAGTGAGCTAGGATGGCACCACTGAACTCCAGCCTGGGCAAAAGAGTGAGACTGTCTCAAAAATAATAATTAATAATAATGCTGTGATGACTATCCACTTGCATAAATCTGGGCACACATTTCTGATCACTTGGGCAGACAACATCCTCACTTTATAGATGAGGACAGCAGACCCAGAGGAATGATTTGCTGGCACAGGCCCATCATCCAGGGCCTATATGGGGGCTGCTCTGTTGGGACGGTGTGTTCCATTTTTATTTGGGTCTTACTGGGCAGCAGCAGCAGCACATCTCAGGCAGCAGGTGAGAAGGAGGGGAAAATAGCCAGATGCAATGTAATCCCAGTACTTTGGGAGGCGGAGACAGGAGGATCACCTGAGGCCAAGACCAGCCTGGCCAACATGGTGAAACCATGTCTCTACTAAAAATATAAAACTTAGCTGGGCGTGGTGGCGGGCGCCTATAGTCCCAGCTACTCGGGAGGCTGCGGCAGGAGAATGGCGTGAACCCAGGAGGTGGAGGCTGCCGTGAGCCGAAATTGCACCACTGCACTTCAGCCTGGGTGACCGAGCGAGACTCCATATCAAAAAAAAAAAAGGAGGAGAAAACCTCATTTTCTAACTGCCACCTAATTTCTTTCTTTTTCAGACCCTTTGCAGAAATCTGCAATGATGCCAAGGTGCCAGGTGAGTCGGAGGTGAAGAAGCCGCCCTTCTGCCCCGCGGGGACTAGAGACTGTTCCTTTTGAAAAAAGGTAGAGCCGGGCACAGTGGCTCATGCCTGTCATCCCAGCACTTTGGGAGGCTGAGGCAGGCAGATCACTTGAGGTCAGGAGTTCAAGACCAGCCTGAGCAACATGGTGAAACCCCGTCTCTACTAAAAATACAACAATTAGCTGGGCGTGGTCGTGGGCACCTGTAATCCCAGCTACTCAGGGGACTGAGGCAGGAGATTTGCATGAACCCAGGAGGCGGAGGTTGCAGTGAACTGAGATCGTGCCCCTGCACTCCAGCCTGAGCAATGGAGCAAGACCCCGTCTCTTAAAAAAAAAATTGAATAAATTTCTTAAAGGCAGAGATAGATGTAGTCCAGGTGGGCATGCAATAGATGGCTGACCACCTTGAAAAATATATAGCCCCTCTCCACCCTGGTACCTCCCCAGGGAGCCTGAGGTCTCCATGAATGAGGCCAGGTATCCCCAAGAGGCCCCCGGAAACCTGCAGGTGCCCTGCAGAGGGGAGGCCCTGCC